AACAACTTCCAAACTGGAAAAACTAATATCCGCGAAAAAACATCTGTTAAGTACCAGAAGAGGTTATCTCTGCTTTCTGAGTGTCCATATTGCTAGATATGCTGAGTTTTAAGGCGAAATCCCGGGGAATTTCGTCTAGAAATGCAATTACCTAACCGTGCGCGATCCCGCGGTGGTTAATCATTTTTTGGCAGCGAGTCGATTTATGGCACAACACCGGACGCCGGAGCACCTCCGCAGTCAATGGACAGAAATCACATCCGCCCAACAGGAAAAGGAGCAAGCACAACTTCCGTTTTTCACAATAAATCGATAAACAAAAAGCGTTTTTTGTTTCAAATACACAGGTTTAACAACTTTTAACAACTATCAATGGCGGTTGAACTTTAAATGCACAAAAGTAAGCCATAAATACAGTTTCCACTATCAAAGTAGTCGCCCTTTGTTGATCCAAACTGCTGATCTCTCAACACAAATGATGGGCAGATTAAACCGTTCATTTTGATGCTTCTCCCACACAACGCGTGTTTGGATCTAATTTCCGCGTTTATTGCTCGGACTGTATCGCAAGATCTCGAAAATCCTGCGCATGCCTGTTTGCGCAACTCAGGTCTCCGCACCGGAGCAGAGCCGTTGTAGAGCGGCGGGTACCAGTAAAAATTGAGTTCGGAAGCGAGCGGCAGCGGAGGGCGGGGGCGGAGTGGAGCGGAGCGGTGCAGAGATAGTGGAACTTTGGGGTTAGACAGTTCCACTCAGAATAATAGAATGAACCGACAGAACTGATCAGAAATAAATAGGTTTCTAATTTGCCTTGGCCCCCAAAATGCCTTGATACGACCCTACGACCCTGGCTGGGGGACTGAGTTTTAAAGCTGATCTGAATTGTATCAAATATATAAATATTACATGCTGATAAATTATTATAGGTAGAAACAAAATATTTTTCGGGCTCCCCCTGGGTGTGTAAGTTGAGAGCTTCCAGCTCCCCAGTAATTCCAACTAGGGATGAGCCTCCTTTCAGACGAGTATCCGGTACGGATAAAGCATTTTTGACGAATACGAGCATGAAACGAGTAAACCTCGTAAATATCTGTAATCGTGCTGAAGGAAAATCCTCACTGGGTAACTGAATGTCTTCACACTCTGTGACTGGGCAGTCACATAGAGCGCCCGCCCCTCCCTACACACAAAACTCTCTAGCCGGCTGGGAGCTCAGTCCGTCCGGTGTCGGTACAAGATCTGCTCGGGTACAAGATCGACTCGGGTCCGTCGACTGCCGATGACGTCAAAGTAGTTGATTGGCTGAACATGAACCTTACGGAATTACGCAATCCCGTTACATTGTTATCACGTTTCGTTGGTCCAGGCAAATTTTTCTGTTGGAAAGATGGACAACTTTTACAAAGAAATCCATCATTACTTCTTTGAAAATACACTTTTAGCATAGAGCTGCATGTATATTAGGGCTGAACGATTAACTGCATGTGCAATTAAATTACGATGTGACAAAAGGATATTTTCTAATCGCAAAGGCTGCAATTTGGCAGCGAGTGATTAGCGCAATGCTAATATACATGGAAAAACCCATAGGAATGCTAATGCTAATATCACCGATTACATTCTTACAAATTATGAATTAGAAACGTGCCAAATAATTACATTTGGAGTCTAATAGAAAGTAAAACTACCATCAATAAAATAAGTACAGACAGGTATTTTAGTAAAGCCAGAAAACTTTTAACTCCAGAGTTTTGGCTAGCAGCTATGAGCGTACCTGAACTATGCATGGACGAGACGTCAAAAACAACACAAAATGGTTCAATAAACAGGACACACTTCTTTCCTGCAAATACAATTTCACAGGTGTTGCTAATACCTATGATCCTTCAAGGGATGTGCTCCAAGAGGAGTTCAACATTATGAATAAAATATAGTGTTTTATTTTACAAATACCATTATAAACACAAACTTGCGTCTTAAGAAACATTATTTTAATAACGAAACGGCAAAATTCTTTCCAACAGTATAAAGATGTGTAGTGTATTTTGTCCGAGTGGGTTTGCCATACTTTGACGTCATCGGCAGTCGAAGGACCCCGAGCCGATCTTGCACCTGATCTGATCCTGTACCGACACTGGCTCATCCACGCACACACACACAGTAACGGATCTCGCTGTGATTGTTTCACTGTTGCTCACGTTTCTTCAGTTTTCCCTAGGTTTTCTTCAGCTCGCCTTACTTTTTTCGTAACTTACATGGTGCATTTGACAAGACAGAGCTGACGTGCTGCGTCAGTCACCTCCGCTCCGGTCGGGTTTTTTATTTTATTTTTTCAACTCTCTCTCTCTCTCTCTCTCTCTCTCTCTCTCTCTCTCTCTCTCTCTCTCTCTCTCTCTCTCTCTCTCTCTCTCTCTCTCTCTCTCTCTCTCTCTCTCTCTCTCTCTCTCTCTCTCTCTCTCTCTCTCTCTCTCTCTCTCTCTCTCTCTCTCTCTCTCTCTCTCTCTCTCTCTCTCTCTCTCTCTCTCTCTCTCTCTCTCTCTCTCTCTCTCTCTCTCTCAGACACACGCACCTTAATCAACATTGTTTGGATAACTTTGTGTGGGGCAAAATGCCAAGAACGTTAAGAAAAAAATCAGTTAAATCAAATTAAAATAAAAAAATATACATAAAGCTGTGTCTGGTTCTAGCATTTCATATTTCCTAGTTCCTACTGCATGAGTTCAGATGTATTAATCCATGCACCTAAATATTAATGTTCTGATTTTACTGAAAAACTTGTTCTGCAATAGTTCCTTTACTATTGCGATCAAAAATATTTAATCTCAATTCAGAGGCTGCTCTGTAAATAGTTTTCAAATAAACAATACAAATATCAACTTCTGATAATTCCGTATCAATTTCAGACTTAAAATAATATATTCATGTAAACCACACCCACTTCTGGGTTATGCCACGCCCATTCCGAGTACAGATACAGATAATTTAGTTGGTTGAACAGATACAGATACAGATAGTGGTGTACTCGCTCATCCCTAATTCCAACCCTGGTCCTGGTTGAAAACCCAGACATTTTCATGAATATTGGAAACCTCCTTGGACAGCTTGGACAGAGTGAAAAGTGGACATGTCCAGAGAAAAGAGGACATTTGGTCAACCTATATTAGCTACCATCATAGAAAATAGCTAACACTCATAAAGCAGGTAAAGAGCGCCGCCTAGAACACCTACCTGCTCCACACAACTGTTAAAGGAATGCTTTGAAACATTTTCACAGTTTTAAATCATTTTCTTGAGCCAGTATGTGCTAAAATGTCCCTTTACAGGGTTAACGAAAGGCCACTCAGCCCCTAGACACTTGGAAGGCTGGGGAGACATTTCAGCAGCTAGATTATGGCAAGGATGTCCAAATATTTCAAGACAAGGGCCAAAAAAGTCATGTTTGAAGTCAATGCGGGCCACAAGAATGCGATTTTCTTAGTTTAAAAAATGCAAACATTTCACACACACACACACACACACACACACACACACACACACACACACACACACACACACACACACATATATATATATATATATATATATATATATATATATATATATATATATAAAGTTTATACTCTTCAAAGTAAATCCAAAAAAGGCTAAGTAAAAATATGATCATAAACATGTTAGAAAGTGGTGGCCTATATTAACATCCTGAGAGACAAGCTTCATCATTCTAGAATTTCACCTGGGGGCCGTACAAAATCATTTAGAGGCTGCAAATGGCCCCCGGACCGCACATTGAACATGCGTTAAAAAGACAAATGCACAGCGAGGAGATGGTTTTGCTTTTGGTTCTACTAAACGGACACTAGGGGGTGCTAATAGCAAGCCACAATGGCCTATTGTCCCTGTGCAGTATCTGGCCAGAAGAGGGCAGCAGCTGTGACCGGTCACGTTTCTAACTCAACAATAACCGAGATCAATCGTAAAGCTCTAGCCTAAAGTTTAAAAACTAGTGTTTCTTTAAAGTGATAGTACTGAAACCAAAACCCTCAAACATGAACCAAAACAAGGATCCATCAACGTCAGTCAGGATTTGGTGAAGACTTGAAACAACCAGAACAGAAACAAACGCACCCTCCAAAACTGTTACAACAGCTTTAGGAGAGGTGGGTCGTGAACTCTGGATGAACATGACCAAACTCCATCCATCCATTGTCTGAACCCGCTTTGGACTGTGGGAGGCAGCCAGAGTACCTGGAGAGAACCCACATGCTCAGGGAGAACATGCAAGCTCCATGCAGAAAGATCCTAGGCTGGGAAGCAAACCCAGGACCTTCTTGCTGCAAGGCAACAGCTCTAACCACTGCGTCACTGCGCAGCCCGTGACTGAACTCTCACCTGCTAATTTAGATACAGCTAACCTGTAAATTCTAATCTAATGGTTGGCTATCCGTGATGCCCTTGAATATTTTTCCATGACTCACTGTCTCAAAAGCACTGGTAAAACTAACTAACTGGTAATTCTTCTTTTTATTTATGACTTGTGATTTCTAGATGTGTGTAAATAAACTTCATGGCTTCGGATTAGATGACTGAGTCTTGATGTTTATTCTTTCAAAGCTTTTTATCCAACGTAATAGACACAGACAGACAGACAGATTAATCGATCTATCGACAGATAAATCGATTAATCTGTCTGGATAGATGGATAAGGCTTTATTTGATCATACGCTAAAGGCAAAACAAACATGATAATAACATTAACAATAAGAATTACACTTTTAATCCGTATTTGTTGATATTAAATTATAATGAGATAAAAACACATTTTGTTCTAAAAATGGGTATGAACAGAAACAAGGGCAAGTGCAGAAAGACATTTACTCCTCACACCCAGAAATCTTCAGAATACTTTGAAACTTAATCTTAGATTATATGTTAGGTTTCCATAAGTTGGTGCTTATCATCCATCAGGCCAGAGAAGGGGAGGAAGAGAGGGGAGGGGTTACGAGCCCGGTTCCGTGGAACATCCCGCGAACAAGTTGGAACCGCAACTCCGCACACATCCCCGCATCGGGATGTTTCCCTGTTAGAGGAAGTCTCTGCTCTCTATCTGGAGCCGACCCCTTCATCTGCACGGGCAGCGCATCCGCGGGATTTGTGCGCTTTTCTGTGCGGACGGACGGCGGTGGGACATCCGGAGTGGAGACTTCCAGAGATGAGGAGGGGGAGGCGCTGCTTGCTGGCTTGGTAGACAGAGCGCAAGCGCACCTTTATGCGCGCGCCCTCACACCCCAGCGCACGAGATGGACTTGAAGAAGACAAAAATTGGAAGGTAAATGTTTATTCCAGAAAACAAGTGACAGCTGTCGGAATTTACAAAACATTGTTTCCGTGTCACAGATGCTGTTTATCCATGCGCGCTGGCTCAGGGACAATCATATAGATTCGCGCGCGCGTGTGTGAAAGTGAACAAAGAGAAGAAAAAAAGCAACAAAAACCAGAATAAGTTTAAAACAAAAACAGTCGGTGCAAATTTGTTATTTCGTCAGATAATCTTTGTGTTAAGCTGTTTTCATCCAGTTCTGGGTCTCAGTCAGGATCTTCATGTGGGTCAGAGTTCAGTGGCACAGAGTGTGTGACACCAGTTCACGCTGATTCACGTGGAGCTTCGCTCCAGGACATTCGGTGTGTGTTAAAGTGAGCTGGTGTTTGAAAATGGGAAATAGACAGCCATGATCGTGAGAACCAGAGATGGAGTCCCACACGAGATTAACTCCATCACCGCTGTTAAAGGAATAGCCTTGGGGAACAGAAGCTGCACACACACACACACACACACACAAACACACAAACACACACACACACACACACACACACACACACACACACACACACACACACACACACACACACATTCCTGAGGTGCACACCATGAACCGAAGGCTCAGATTCTTGATCATTTGATACTGATCCTCTTAGTATGCGGCATGTGTTGCAACGGGCTCTAAATTGGTATTTCAGTCATTCTGAAGTTTGTTTCCGTGTAAAAATATTAGCATTTCCCCCCTTTGACATTGGAGATAGCCTCCTGAACAGCCTCTGCTTGGAGAAACAGCTTCTAAATCCTTCAGGACTGATGAGCTAACGGCTAGAGCGAGCACAGCCAAAAGCAAAGTGTTTTGCTACCATCCTGAAAAAGCGCAAATCTGCTAAACTTCAGTGATGTGTTATCAACGTTATTTATTAATATTTACATCTAAGTTAGTATTTGGACTACTTGACCCCTGGATCAGAAAGGAGAGTAGCTATTAGCTAAAGTCTAACCGAGCCTTTATACTGGACACTTACATTTTGTGTAACCTCTGAAAAGCGTAGGCAGCAATTAGCTGCCGTTATTGTGGATGGGTGTGTTTCCCCAGCGGCACCCCCAGGTGCTCTGCAAAATCCATGGTTTGGTCTCCTTTTTACGCACTGTTTCAGACTGCGTCAAGCATCCAGACAGGAAGTCAAACATGAAAGCAGTGTAAAATATCTGGAAACTTTCAAAATTAAAGTCACTTGCAGATTTCCATGTTGCATAACTAGTAAAAAAAAAAAAGTACGTCATTACTTGTGACAACTCCGTAAGTAAACAGAACAGAAAATAAACCACACCCATTTTTGGATAGAAATTGCCGTCATTTTCCCTGCGTGTTATCACGAGAATTGGCAGAATCACACGCGTTGTTGCAATGTCCAGTCATATTGTGACCTCGCGGAACCAGCTGCATGAAGCGTGGGTAAAACGCATCTATTATGTTATACGTGTTGCTTACGTGTCCAGTGGAAGCTGGGCTGAAAGTTACCAAAATTTGCTGAATTATATAATTGTCTAATTTAATTTTTGGTCAAGTACATATAATTATAATAGGCACTGTAGGAATGAGCACAAACATTGTTAAAGTAACAATAGATAGTTTTTAAACTTTAAATGCTTTAAAGGGACAGTATGCAACTTTTCATATTTATAAATTATTTTCTTGAGCCAGTATGTTCTAAAATTCAATTAAACTAAACTTAATTCAATTCAAGATTATTTCTATAGCACCAAATCACTACAAGAGTCATCTCAAGGGACTTCACACAGTAAACATTCCAATACAGGTCAGTTCCCTAAGCCAATCAGTAAAAAGTTTTCTATACAAGGAACCCAGCAGATTGCATCAAGTCAGTGACTAGTGTCAAGAGTCTTTACAGTAATCCTCATACTAAGCAAGCATGCAGCGACCATGGAGAGGAAAACTCCCTTTTAACAGGAAGAAACCTCCAGAGGATCCTGAATCAGTATAAGCAGCCATCCACCATGACTCACTGGGGATCGAGAAGACAGAGCAGACACACACACACACACACACACACACACACACACACACACACACACACGCACACGCACACGCACACACACACACAAGAGAGGAGCCTGATAGATAAAAGATCTGCCTCCCTTTCTATTTTTAGATATTCTGGGAACCACCAGTAAACCTGCAGTCTGAGAGCGAAGTGCTCGGTTGGGAACGTATGGAACAATCAGATCACTGATGTATGATGGAGCTTGATTATTAAGAGCTTTGTATGTGAGAAGGAGGACCTTAAAATCTATTCTGAATTTAACAGGTAGCCAATGTAGGGAAGCTAAGACAGGAGAGATATGATCTCTCTTTTTAATTCTCATCAGAACTCTAGCTGCAGCATTTTGGACAAGCTGAAGACTTTTAACTACATTATGTGGAGTTCCTGAGAGTAATGAATTACAGTAATCCAGTCTTGATGTAATAAATGCATGAACTAGTTTTTCAGCATCACTCCTGGAAATGATGCTTCTAACCTTAGCAATATTCCAAAGGTGGAAAAATGAAATCCTACAAACCTGTTTAACCTGGGATTTGAATGACATGTCCTGGTCAAAGATCAAAGTCAAAGTCAAAGTCAGAGTCGTTTTTATTGTCATTTCTACCACATGTGCAGGACATACAGAGAAACGAAATTGAGTTTCAGTGCACACAATTCAGAAATCAGACATACATGGGTAAGACACATGACAAGAATTGGTGACTGCGGTCATTCGCAACATGAGTCGTGCTACCTTAACACCAAGGTTCCTTACTTTGTTCTCAGAGATTAATTTAATGCCATTCAGGTCAGGTGATTGGCTAAGCAGTTTCCTTTTCTGATTTTTGGGTCCAAAGATAAGAACTTCAGTCTTGTCTTGATTTAAACGCAGAAAATTTTGAGTCATCCAATTTTTTATGTCTTCTAGACAAGCCTGTAAACTATCTAGCCTTTTTAGATGGAGGCATGTTGGAGGCAGGGCAAGGGAGAGCTGTCTTTACCGACTGTACACTCCACCTCCCTCTACTCCCCCACTTGTCCAGATCTAGGCTAACATCAGATTTTAACCATAGGCCCTATCAAATAAAAATCACGAGGCGCTTCTCAAAAACAAAAAAATGTAAAAATATAAAAAAGAATTTAGAAAATGGTTAAACATATATTTAAAATGAGCAAAAAATAGACAATTGTGATTAAAATTGTTAAGAAAGAGAGAGAATGAATAGGAAAAAGGGAAATTAGTGGATCCTGAGGAAGGTGGAATAAGTGGGGAGAGCAGAATAAAGAGAGAGGGGTGAAGGTCATACAAAAGCCAGCTTGAACAAGTGAGTCTTCAGCTGCTTTTTAAAGGAGACCACTGAGTCCACTGATCTCAGACTCAGGGGGAGAGAGGTCCAGAGTCTGGGGGCCACAGCAGCAAATGATCTGTCACCTTTGGTCTTTAGCCTGGTGCTGCACAACCAGTAGGCTTTGATCACTGGACCTCAGGGACCTGCTGGGGGTGTAGGGACTAAGAAGATCACCAATGTAAGATGGTGCTTGTCCATGTAAGGCCCTATAGACCAGAACCAGGATCTTGAAATGAACCCTGAAGTTGACTGGCAGCCAGTGAAGCTGGAGGAGAAGCGGGGTGATGTGGGTGTGTTTGGAGGACTTGGTCAGAAGCCGAGCACAGGCATTCTGAACCACCTGTAGACGGTTCAGGGAGGTTCTGCTCAGACACGTGAAAAGACAGTTACAGTAGTCTAAGCGTGAGGAGATGAAGGTGTGGAGAACTGTCTCAAGTTCAGAGCAGGACAGAATGGGACTCAGCTTAGCAACGTTCCTGAGATGGAAGAAGGAGGAGTGAACAAGAGAACTGACATGAGGATCCAGGGTGAGAGCTGGGTCAAAGGTCACACCAAGATTCCTGACGGAAGGTTTGGTGTGAGAAGCAAGCTGACCAAGAGAGTCTCTGACTTTGGGAACCAGCTTGTCTGGGGCACAGATGAGGATCTCAGTCTTATCTTCATTCAGCTGAAGAAAGCTCCCAGCCATCCAGGTTTTGATAGAGTCTAAGCAGGTGTGTAACAGCTGCAGCTTAGACATCTCATGGGGCTTAAAGGAGATGTACAGTTGGATGTCATCTGCATACAGATGGTAGGAGATTCCTTTGAAGGAGCTCAGGATGTGCTGAAGAAGAAGCAGCAAGAGGAGGAAGAGCAGAGGCCCCAGCACAGAGCCTTGTGGGACACCATGGGTAAGGAAGGTGGTGGAGGACCTAAACTTGGAGACGGCCACAGAAAAGGAGTGCTCAGAAAGATAAGAGGAGAACCACTCCAGAGCAGTTCCTGATAGGCCTACCCAGTCTCTCAGCCTCTCCAGTAGCAGGTGATGGTCAACAGTGTCAAAGGCTGCAGTCAGGTCCAACAGGACCAGAACAGAACAGTCCCCTGCATCACTGTGAGTCAGAAGGTCATTAGAGACCCTAAGAAGAGCTGTTTCAGTAGACTGAGCTCTACGAAAACCTGACTGGAAGCTAGCATAGATGTTCTGTTCATCAAGAGCAGCTGTGAGTTGTTTAGCCACAACCTTTTCCAAGATGTTGGAGATGAACGGAAGTTTAGAGATGGGTCTGAAGCTGCTATGGAGAGAGGGGTCGAGACTCGTTTTTTTAAGAAGTGGGTGGATTACAGCATTCTTAAAGTAAGCAGGGACCTGACCAGAAACCAGAGAAGCATTTATTATAGAGAGCACGCTGGGACTGATGGACTGAAAAGCACTTTTAAACAAAGATGAGGGTAAGATGTCGAGGGGGCATGCAGAGGTCTTCATAGAGTTAACTAGTTTGGTTAACTCAGGCAAAGAAACAGGAGCAAAGCTCTACAAATTAACTTCCTTCTGTTGATTATTGTTTTTTTAAACACACATTTTCATAAATCACACATTTAACAGAAAAACACCAACGAATAAATACAAGTTGTG